TCTGTTCTGACCTGATGACAATGAGTTTGAATGTTTTACCTCAGAGAAATATTTATATGTAACCACAAAAAGGCATGTTGTTATGTGCTGATGAGTCCACTAGGACTTATAGCGACCCTATTAACAACAGCTCTGAACCCTGCCCTGTCCTAAGCCAACCTCACCCTTTCTGACACAGTTGACCCCATTGCCACAGTCACTGTGTCAATCCATCACATCCAGGGTCTTCCTCTCCTGAACTGACCTTCTGCAATTCGAAGCATGATGTCCTTCTCCAAGTACTAGCCTCTCCTGATTACAAGACCAAAATATATGAGTCAGAGTTTCAAAATCCTTCCCTCCAAGAAGTAACTTAGTTCACTGTCTATTCTTTTAGCAGCCCATGATAGACCAGTCCTCTTTTCCAACACCACAACTCAAAGGCATGAATTCTTTTTCTGTCATCTTTAGTCATTGTCCAGCTCTCAGATGTATGCAAGCAACTGAGAAGACCATGACTGGAATCAGGTGCACCTTACTCTTTAGACTGACATCCTTACTGACCACTGATTTTCCCAATGCAACTCATCTAAGATTATTATTGTATTTTTTTAATGTTTAAATAGGTCTAATGTTTAATGTTTAATTTTAATGTTTAAATAGATTTAAATTACCTAAAACCTCTACCCACTAGGTGCCGAAAATAGCCACTCACTAACTGTGACACCAAAAATATCTCTGGACAAATTTAATATCCTTTGAGAGAAGAGGGAGCCATTGTTGTGAATGTGTACTGTAGAATCAGAACAAACCCAGAGTTGGGAGGAGATTGCCTATCTTTCTCCCATGGAGGAGCTGATGTATTCAAACCATGTACCTTTGTGTTGGCAGTGCAGTGCAATTCCTTACCACTAGACCACCAGAGAACCAATTGAGAAATCATCTCTAGTTAAAAAGTCACTGTTCATCATGTTTCCAACCACCACACACATTGCCATCTCTATAAAATGGTTCCTTTGCATCCTCCCCCATGGAACTGATGCTCAGGTTGGCAGGATTTCTGCCATTTCTTTTGCATTTTGTGTATCTTTCACATTTTCTACAGTGAACATTCAATTACTTCTGTAACGAGGAGAAAATTAAGTGAGGTCAATGATTATTCTTCATTTCTGAGAACCTTAAACATCTTAATGATGCCTCTGTTGGTTCACCCTTTCATATAACTCATGACCTGCGTAAAACGAGGACAATTAGGAAGAAGCTTTTAAATAGCAAGATCTTCAGAAACATGTAAATAGTTAATGACAATGCATCACTTTAAAAAGTTGAGTTTGAACAGTATTTTACTCTACAATTTCAAAGCTTGTGTAACACAGTGTACATACTGAAGTACATTTTGATGACGGTGGTGGTGTTAGATGCTATTAACTAGGACTTATAATTGACCCTATACAACACAATGAAACATTGCCCAATCCTATGCCATCTCCAAAATTGCTCCTGTGCTTAACCCATTGTTACGACCATCGTGTTAATTAACCCCTGTAGGGTCTTTTTCTTTTTCACCGACTCTCTACTTTACCCAGTTTGTTATCTTTCCCCATTGACTGGCTCTTCCTGGTAACATGCCTACAAGTGAGATCAAGTCTCACAGTGCTCGCTTCAAGGAGCGTTGGACATTGTTAAAGGAAAGGATAAGACAAGTCATTCTTAGTGTGAAACTCTAGATTTGTGTCATGATAAACCAAGAGATTTTTGTGGTTTTGCTTACCTGTTATTTGGAACATCTGCACTCAGCTCTCCCTCTTTTGTTTCCCTCAGTTGGCATTCAGTGGTATTCCGTGAAGAGCTGCACAATGAACCACAGTGAGTGTTTCCGGAGAATTGTGACGACTTATGAAGTCCACTCAACTCACTGCTGCCATAAACCTTTCTGCAATTTCTGACAAGTGTCCTGTGTTCAAACTGGTTGATCAGCCAACCGCACAGCCTGACCTGGTCATCACAAAATAATATCCACCATCATTATTACTCTACAAAAATGGCAGACTTTTGAAAAATATGAAATTGACTTTCATTCTCAAGGCAACCAGTGTTTGCTCCACAACTTCTCCAGCTCAGAAACTTTTAATTCAATATCATCTTGTTCCCTCCTCCTTTCTGCTCAACTCTTCCTAAGATCACTACACTATGAAGAACTGAAAATGCTACTAATTATAATTAGCCCCTTAAACGATTCATACTATCCCCAAATAGCTTATTTCTCTAAATATTTCCATGCTCTAAAACAGAATTGAAAGTAAATTATATCACAAAATATCAAGTGAGTTGAGAGTGCTTATTTGGTTACCAAAGCAAATTGACTTGTTCTTTCTGAGTGATGTATGCTCTGGGAAAACCAAAATTAACAAATAACAGAAAAAGTAGACCAGGCCTTACAAAGCCAGGCCTGTGGGAATTATGGGTCCAGGTGGCAAAGAGCTGAGGCAATTGGGATTTGTTGAAATATTTTCCCTTACTTTAATCACAACTAAGTGATGCATTGTTGTTGTGACTGTTAGGTGCTGCCTAGTCTAGTACAACTCGTGGTAGCCATGAACAACAGGCACAAATCTACTCTCTCCTATGCCACCTTCACAGCACTGCCATGCTCAAACCCAGTGTTGCAATCACTGTTTCAAGCTGTATTTGTAGTAAATAGTAATGACATATTTATTAGAAAATTACATCTTCAAAAGGGACAGACCTTCCTACTTGAAAGAAGATAAGGCCTGTGTCAACCTATCTTGTTGGGGATCTTCCTCTCTTTCACTGACACTATTTTTCCTGGCATGATACCTTTCCCCAAGGACTGGCCCCTCCTGACACTAAGTCCAAATTATATAAGGTGAAGTTTTACCAGCCTTGCATCTAAGGAGCACCATCGTTGTTCTTCCTCCAAAACAGGTTTGTTTGTTCTTTTGACAGTTGATGGAATAGTCAGTACTCTTCAACGCCACAGCCCCACAAAGGATGAGCTCTTGGTGGCCTAGTACATAAAGGGTTGCGCTGCTAACTGAAAGGGTGGACCTCTCTGGTGGTTGAAATCCACTAGGGCCTTCAAAGGAGAAAGATAGTCAATTTCCTCCTGTGTAGTTTACGACCTGAGATACCTGCTGGAGGGTTGGCTATAAATCAGTTCTGACTCGATAGCAAAGAGTTTGCATTTTTCCTCAGTGTTATTCATAATTTATCGTGACCTAAACAGTTAAACGCTTTTAAACAGAGAACTGCTGGATTCAGAAGAAGTCATGGAATGAGAAATATCATTGCTGGTGTCATATGGATTCAGGCTGAAATTGGAGAACACCAGAAAGATGATTACTAGTGTTTAATAATATCCCTCAAAGGGCAGGAACAGAGGGGTGAGGGTGGGGAATCATGGGGTCACACAATTTGATGGGTAGGAGGATGGTAAGGGAAGTGGGAAAGGTAGGAGGGTGATCTGTAAAGACAAAGTAGTGAAGGGCATGGTTTAATGGTAATTTTATAAAACATAATGAATGGGACTGATTGTGTGAAACACAATGAAGGATAATCAGAAACATGATGTATATGAATTTTATACACCAACCAATGTAAAATGAAAAAAAGAAGAGATATTTTTATTTTAGTTCTATAAAAAGTAAACATTTTATAAGTAAAAAAAAAATAATAATATCCCTCCTTCTATGGCCTCTTTTGACTATAGGCTGAATTTCTGACAGTTCCTTCCTAATATACTTGTTGCAGCTGATTCTAAATAAGTTTCTGCAGGAGTTTGCATGTATGTGATAATGATGCAGTTGTTCCACCATGTTTGCTTTCTGCTGGATCACATTCATTATGGGAATGGGCACACATATCAGTCCAGTCAGTTAGATCTAGTATCTCTCTTTTCAATTTCACATAGGCAAGTTAGCACATCTAAGGCTGTCTCTAGTTTTTTAAAGACTCATTCTGAACAAACAGTTTTATCCTGGAGAAGGTGTAACTAGGCTGCTCCTTAGAGTTAAGGATTCTGAAGCTTCATCTGACATACTTTGTACATGCTACAAGGAGCGACTGTCCTTGGAGAGGGACGTCATGTTTGGGAAAGTGGAGGGACAGCACAGGAGAGGAAGGCCCTCAATGAGATGGACTGATTCAGTCACTGGGGCAATGGGGATAGCTTGTCAGAGATGGTAAAGTTGGCACAGGATAGAGTAAGGTGTAGGGCTCTTGTACACAAGGTTGTTATGAGTTGCAAGCGACTCGACGGTACATAACAACAACATCATTCTGTATTCTATCAATTCTTGGACCCTTATGTTTTTGCCACGCCTTCAGTGCAGTTGAGCATCTTCCTTCAGTACTAATGGCTTTTGATCATATGCTACTTCCTGGAGTGGATCAGTGTCACCCAGTTTTCTTCAGTAGATAATATTTTGTCTATAAGATCCTTCAGCATTGCAACTCATGGCCTGAATTGTTCTTCAGTTCTTTCACCTTGAGAAATTCTGAGCGCATTCTTTCCTTTTGATTTTCTAACTCCAGATCTCTGCACATTCAGTTATGATACTTGCCTTTTCATCTCTAGCTACCTTTTGAAATCTTCTGCTCAGTTCTCATCATCATTTCTGTCCTTCATGTGGCTTCTGTATGTTAAAGGGCAAATTTCAGAGTCTCTTCTGACATACATTTTGACCTTTTCTTTCTTTCTCATCTCTTTAATGACTTTTTTGCTTTATTGTAGGATGAGTTTGTGAATCTCATTTTGGCAAAATAAGAAAAACAAATTACCAGGTAAACAGATTACCATCCACAGAGAATTTGAAAGGAATGAGAGTATCATTTGAACTGTGTTTCACATTTTTAAATGTGTTACATAATCACATTTACATCTAATTCCATAATTTTGCAGACTGAGTATAATTTTGAATTTTAATTTAAAATTTTGTTTTTCTGTATTTTCAAGAGTCTAAGAAACTCAGAAATAAATAATAAAAGTAATAAATTGCCTTTTTTTCTGGACCATCATATGAGCCCTTGAATGTATTTCATTAAATACTTAATGTAAACAAGGTTAAAATAAAGAGGCTGTGGGTGGCAAGAAGCTGCAGTGCTATACCAAAGGCACATGGTTTGAGGCCACCAGCTACTCTGAGGGAGAAGGTTGGTCAATCTCTTCCCCAGTGTTTAGCTGTCTTCAAAAAACCACCAGAAGGTCAGCTGTGGGTAGGCTCCAACACTCTGGTACATAACAACTACAACAACAATATGAAGCACTCATACAATGGAGGAGTATGCAACAGTACAAAGTATTAAATAATTCAAGAAGCACTGCCTAATATAGATGCATCTAATGGGCATTATTCTGAGTTAAATAAGTTAGTCAGAAAATGACAAATATTGTATAAGAATGCTATTTTTTTTTTCTTCTTCCAGATCGTCTTTCCTCTTGTATTGTTATTGCTGTGTACTGTTGAGTCAGAACCAACCCATAGCTGACCTTCCAGCAGGGTTTTTGTTGTGGTTGTTTTTAAATGGATGAGTAAACTTTATTTTTTAAAAAAACAAACAAACAATTTCTGTTTGCTTACAAAGTTTGTATACATTGTGTTTCACATTACCAATCATTCACATTATGTTTCATACAATCATTCCCACTCATTATGTTTTCTAAAGTTAATCACCATTGAATTATACCTACCATTACCCTGCCTTTTCCGATTCCCACAAGATCTTTCCTGTTTGCTTTACCTCCTCCATCCACCAACCAAATTGTGCTTCCTTGTGACTTCCCCTTGCCCATCTCTACCCCTCTGCTTCCATCCTTTTCCCTCTTGGATCCTCAGACACTTTTTACTAGTTATCCTTCTATTTTTACAATAATGGTCTTGGGCAGTATTTGTCCTTATGAGACTGAGTTAGTTTATTTAGCATAATACTCTTCAGTTTCTCCCAAGTTATGCAGTAATTTTTGAAGTCATTGCTCCAGAGTGCTGTGTAGTATTCCATCATGAGAATATATCACAATTTCTCAATCCTGATTATGGTTGGACATTGGTGGTGGGCTGTTTACATGAAGGACGCTATTTTTAAAAGCTAACAGAATATTTACACAGTTATTTCTGGATGATTATGAGGGATGGGAAGAGGGAGAGGATAGTGATTATATAGATAATGTTGTAATTGTGTACCATCACGTTGGAACCACTCATAGTTGACCCTTGATCAGGTTTTCAGAAGCAGTAAATCACAAGGGAGGAGATTGCCTGTCTTTCTCCCAAGGAGCAGCTAGTGAGTTCAAACCACATTCCTTCAGGATTGCAGCTCAGCTCCTTACCAGTAGGCCACCAGAGCTCCCCATAGAGATATTAAGATGATGAAAGAAAAGGCAATGTACCAGAAGGGGGTGATCAACACACCATCACTAAAGAAATGGGAAACACAGAGAAATTTAGAAGGACTAATGGATGTCAGAATTACAGGGAGGAAGTGGGAAAAGTTATGATTACGTTATCAGTATTGAAATGAATGTTACAGAGCAAAATGTGTTTGAATATTTGAACAAAAGTTAAATATATTTTGTCAAGTTTCACATAAATAGCAGTTAAAAAAAAGGCCAAGGAAACAGATTTCTTCCCACTACTCTGTAACAGGAAAGACCAGTTGGCCTAGTGGACCAAGACGATGCTACCAAGCCAAAGGAGGGTGACTAAACCGCGCGCCTAAGGTCTGTTTTTAAATTGTTGTTTGTCAAACATTCTTCTAGGTCATATAGCCCTGGTGTGTACACTTGCCATACGTAGGTAACTTGTGGTTCCTGTGAAGCTAACACTGTGGCACTGATGTGTCAAGTATGATAATGGTTACCCATTGTGGACAGTGTGTGGTGGCGCTCCCTGGTTAAAACAAGGTTGGAAACAGGAGTGGCATCCACTTC